GAGAGAGAGAGAGAGAGAGAGAGAGAGAGAGAGAGAGAGAGAGAGAGAGAGAGAGAGATACAAACACAGGGTTGGGGCTGGGCTTGTAGTAAGTGTTTCTCTACAGATTGCAAACCCCAGAGTTTTCTATACCCAAGCATAATACTAGTAGCTAGGTCTGTAAGAAGTAAATATCCCTATACAGAAATAATTCTCAACCTCCCTTATGCTGTGACCCTTTAATACATTTACTCGTGTTGTGGTGACCTCTAACCATACATTTTATTTAGCTGCTACTTTATGGCTGTAATTTTGCTATTGTTATGAATCAACATATAAGTATTTGATATGTAAGAAAACTAATATGTGACCCCTGTGAAAGGTTCATTCCACCCCAAAATGGCCTTGACTCACAGGTTGAGAACCACTTTTCTACAGCATATTGGCTAGGTGGAGAGACAGACAACAGTTGAATCATATGATACAGGGTATGCATGGTATAGCCAAGATCAGTACAGACAAGCAGCTCTACTTGGTAACAGAACATGTCAGGCAGAGCAGAGAAATAATCCTACAATGGTATGCTGTCTAATGGGAAACTACCAGCTTTAGGCCTAAGCATTTAGGGAGGATTTTAACCAAGTATTTAGTATCTCTTCCCCAGATTTCCATGAATCTTTCCCCTGCATGCATACAGAGATATACATTTGAAACCAAGTCATCACTCAATAAATGTTTGATTTTAAGATGAGTAGATTTTCAAAAAGGAACTATTGATCTGAATAAGAAACAGAAACTGAGGATAGAGAGATGGTTCAAGAACTAAGAGTACTTGGTGCTCTTGTAGTGGACCTGTGTTCAGCTCCCAGCAACAACATTGTGATTACAGCCATCTATATGATAAAGCCACTTGCAGGGTATCTACCACCCTCTTTTGGCTTCTGTAAATAATAGACATGCACACATGTAATGTGCAGACATACATATAGGTAAATGCCTTATACACCTAAAACAAAATAAATAATATTTAAACCAAATAAAACAGAAACCAGGTCAGGGAGAATGGCTTAGTTGACAAGAGATGCCTTTATAAGCATGAAGTCCTGAGTTTAATCATGAGTGTACACATTGAAAACTCAGGTGTGGTGGTATGTGTTTGTAATACCCCCGGGCATTGAGAGACTCTACTTCAATAAAATAAAGTGGATGGTACTTGTGTAACAACATCTAAGGTTGAGCTCTACCCTCCACATGCACTCACAAATATATGCATATCACACACACACACACACACACACACAAACACATATGGGTCCTCACATATATGTATATAGAAAGAAAAAATAAAAAGTCAAAAATAAAAATGACTCAAGGACCCCCATGTTTTTCTTTTCATCGTGCAGTCTGTTCCTTCCAATCCTAATCTTTCAAGCCATGGCTTTGTAAACTAAATACATTTACCTGCCTTGGAAATCACATTTCAGAAATGATACAATAATCATTTGTAAGCACCTACTTTATTCCAGGGACAATTTTAAGAATTTCACTGAGATCAGCATGCAGATAGCCTCATAATTAGGTATATTTATATTTCTGCTTAACAAATAAGAAAACTGAATTATGATATAAGAACTTCTTCAGGAAAGAGTGGCTCTATAGTCTATGCTCTCAACTACTTGTTTGTTATTGTTTAAGGACCAACTTATTGCTTATCTTTAAGGCCAGAAATCACAAGACAGAAAAACTGTCTGTCTTCAGTAACCTGGAGCTTGTATGGTGGAGTTTCTTTTACAAGAAAAGTTTTCAGATAAAGGTTTGAGCCTTGGGGCACATGTTCTCAGGTAGTATTTGATCTTGTAGATCTCAGATGTGGCAGTCAAATATAAATCCACTTCCAATAATAGGATAAAAAAAGAAGAAAATCCATAAAGTGCTAAGAACAGGTCTGATAAGTGAAGGCTCCAGTTACTGAGTAGTTCACCCTCTTCTCAGCCTCAGTTTATAATTAACTTCTCTCATTCATTATGCTTAAAAAATCCTTGTATGACACTAGGTGATGACAAGAGTGATTTGTTAAGAAGTTTTGGCTTTATAGATCGATAACATTACTATTTGGGATATAATTTTTTTCTGTTATTGATAATTTAAGATCATCCCATTTCTCTTAGTTGTTTTAATGGTAGAAATGAGAAAAGCTGTTCATTGTGCTTTACATAAACTTGCTTCTAACTCTGTTTCTATGGCTACTACTACCACTACTATTATCACAAACACTATTTCTGTCACCATCTCTACTACCATCTTTATCTGCATTGCTGGAACCATTAAGACAGTGGGGAAGGCATGATGATAAGAGCCCCATTGCATACGATATCATGGAACAAAAAGTGATGAATGCTACTGTTCAAAACACTTTCTTTTTTATATTTACTTCAGGATCCAAGCCTATGGAATGGCATTACTCACATTTAGGTCATCTTCTCAACTCAATTTAACCCAATCTAGATAAACTCTCACTAAATATTATGGCAGAGGATACTGTTGTTCTAACAATATGTGTCTTCTGTCTGCAGGTTAGAGATGATTAGTGCATCCCATAAAGATACAATAAGATACAGGTAAAACCAGGGCAGACCAAGTAAACCCAGAGCTTCAGCAGAGATTCAGACAGGCTCAGATTTGCCAAGTGCCTGTTGTATTGATCCGTTAGGGGAGGGCATACAGTATATAAACTTTTAGTCTTCAGAGTTTGATACTACTGGTGGTGATCAGTGATACAGGGGCTCAGAAATGTTCTCTCCATGTTGATGAAGACATATAATCCCTTTCAGTAAACATTCTGAATATGCTTGTGCCTAAACACACTGACAATGGTCTTCATTTTTCTTTCTTGTTTGGGTGCAGCCCCTTCTGAGGTAACATTTGCCACTGACGTTGGGAACGGCCCCATTGAGCTCCTCGTCCAGTCTCCTTATCCTCTGAATGACAATCAATGGCATTACATCCAAGCTGAGACAAACCTCAAGGAGACCTCACTGCAGGTGGACAACCTTCCAAAGAGTATGAGGGAGCCCTCAGAGGAAGGCCATTTCCGACTTCAGCTGAGTAGCCAGTTGTTTGTAGGTAGGGGACATCCTAGATCATACTTTATGCTAAATACCTACAAGACTGCTTTATACTCTAGCTCATGGATAACTCCTAGTCACTTACAACTAGGACACAATTAAAATATGGTGTTATTTTTGGCCATAAGTTTAATTTTATATATTGTTTTATTCTAGCATGGTCATCACAATAAAGTTTTGCCAGTTTTTCACAAATTTAGGGGTTGTCTCAGACAACCTTAGCATCATTTCTCATTATGTTTATTGTTTTCAAACATCTGTGTAACTTTATGTTTTGTATCATTGTAATAAAATTTGACACTGTAGGTATATAGATGTGTGTTTAGGTGTCTGTATTTGTTTCTGTATGTATATGTATACATGGATTTGCACATGGATGTATGTTACAGTGATGATATAGTTCCTCTTAAAATTATCCAACATTTAGGCTAGTCCATACATACTTTAAAGTTGTAAAAATGAAATACAGACAGGTAAAAATACAACTTTAGTTCACTGTGCAAGGTAGAACACAATGCTTCATGTTATCCTGCTCTGTCATCATCTGGATGGGGCATGAGCTTCTCGTCTGGGGAAAAATCACATTGAGTTTTTTATGTCTTCACATTGAGAAGACATTTTTACCATAGAAATCACCCAAGCCACTCTTTCACCATTTATAAACTGGTTGACTAAGCCGCACACAAGAAAATGTTCAATAGATTTTGCATTTACCACCTCTGCAAGGAGAAAAATGACACTAACAAGATATATGAAGAATCATTCAAATCTATGAAGGAGAGTGACTGCAGAGGAAGAGATACAGAGACAAGTGTTAGACTCTATAAATTCTCCACTCTTTATTGCACATAGAAAAAAAAGATGAGCTTTTTCCCAGAAGAAAAAAAAATGAGCTTTTTTTTGTTATCAACTTGTATGTTCCATTGATTTATTCTATGATTAAAGGAGACTCAGTCACTGAAATTGAAACAGAGAAGACAGTGCAAGTGAGGTTTGCCTTCTTGGCTTGCATTCTTATCGAAATTGGAAACAATCTCAAGTTTTGTCATTATTTCAGAGTAAGGGACTACTTTTGTGCCTCAGGAATGTTCTTTTTCTGACTCAGACAGTAAACTTCACATATGTGTTTACTAGCCTTGTAATCAGATATCTTACTTACTTTTTCATTGCCATGGTATGATACCATGATCAATAAAATATTTAGTATGTGATCATGGTTGTAGAGGGCTAGAGTCCATGAACAGCATGGTAGGAAACATGGCAACAGTAGGGAATGCATGCTGCCAAAGCAATAGCCAAAAGTTTATATCTTGATACATAACCATGAGGCAGAGAGAACTAACTGACTTTTGGAACTTCAGAGCACATCTCAAGTGACATACTTTCTCCAAAAAAGGTCACCCATCCTAAATCTTCCTAAACCATTCCACCAACAGAGGGTGGGGAATGACTATGCAAATTTAAGCTTAAGAAGGCTGTTGTCACACAAACCACCCTACCTAGGATAGGTTAAAGAAGGTATATTTCTAACCATCATATCATTTCTAGTCCTCTACACTTCTCATTATTTTTCATGTCACCAATTATTCTATTATCCTTTCAACTTACAGATCCCTACTCTGTGTGTGTGTGTGTGTGTGTGTGTGTGTGTGTAGTTGCATAGATAGATTCACATGTATCACATGATCATGTATACAACACTGCATATAAAATTCTGGAAACAGTCTTTAGAGACCTCCAATTTGTTTAAGACAATGTTCCTCGTTGTCCTGTAACTTTATCATGTAGACTAGGTTACATGGCCTGTGGGCTTCCAGAGATCTGCCTGTCTCTACCTCACATCTTACATCACTGATATTGTAGGCATACACTACATAACCTAGGTTTTTCATTGGTTTTGAGAGTCAAACTCTGGTCTTCATGCTGGCAAGGCAAGCATTTTTCTGATTGATCCATTTTCCCAGTTCCCATTTTTGATTTTATTTTCCTTGTTGACATATTTCTTATCAAAGACAGCAAATTGGATATGCTGATTCTATCCATGGTGATAAGTACACATATGTACCTAGTTACTTTCTAGACTAGCAGTTCTCAGTCTTCCTAATCTTTCATATTGTACCATAAAATTATATTTGATACTACTTCATAACTGTAATTTTGCTACTGTTATAAATAGTAATGTAAATATCTGATATACAAGATATCTGTGAAAGGTTGGTTTACCCCTAAAGGGGTCATGACCAACAGATTGTGAACTGCTGTTGTAAACTAAAATTTAATAGAGTCGTAGCGTAAGTTGTTAAGGAAGAATGAGACTCAGTTAAGTTAAGACAGCAGATAAACACAGAAAATAATTGATTTGTGGCTTCTACACTCTGATTCTCTCCTGCTGCTCCTCTTCCCATCTCTTTTTTCCTCTCTCCTCCTCTTCTTTTTTCCCCAATTTGTACGTTTGGCAGAGCTCAAAGATTTCTCAGCATTCTCAGTTCATCTATGATATGACCTTGAGTTCAAGTGTTGAACAATAATTACCTGTTTTCTAAAGACAGAATGAGCCTCTGCCTCTTCTGGAATATCCCAGAAGTCTCAGCACTGCACACATACAGGATAATGGAATTTAGCTATGCTTCTTGTGTCTTAACATACATACTCTCTTACATCAAAGAAAAGCTGGGTTTTCTACGTGAACAAAACAATGAGAAAGTTTCAATCTGCTCAACGTCTGACAGAATGTATTGAAGCCTCTTCTGACTCCTTCAGATGTTTTCTTACCTGAAAGTTAGATTACAGCCTAAGTCTGAATATAAGTTTGAAAATATGCTAAATGGAATTTTATTAACTAATTTAATTTTAATAAACTGTAGGAGTAAAAAGCAGATAATGCATAATGCACCTACTAATTCTTAGAAGTAGGCTAAAACTCAAGAGAAGGCTAAGAAAATAGCAGTAACTGAACACACACTGTTTTCTATGCTGTGCAGTAAGCTTTACTATAACACATGGAATAATAGATGGAAGAGCTCAAACATAAGTGCTTCCATTGTCAATATGGCTAACCAGTGGGTGACATGGAGCTGAACATCAACACCCATCTTCTCCTCTTACACTTCCTAGTTTTGTACTACACAAGCAAATCAGAATATGTTGCAATTTTGTCACTGTGTTGGACCTAACGTCTTTCTCTGAAATTTGCCAGAAGGGACAATTTGACTCTATCCCTTTTATCTCATATGAAAGACAGTACAGGCCACATAAAAAATCCACATTTTATTCATGTGCAGAGACCTTGGCCATGTAAAGTTTCATTCTTAAGCATTTTAAGAAGAGCTATGTATCCCTCTCTGTCTCTCCCCTTCTCATGTCAATTTTTCTTTGAAACAGGTCTCATGTATCCCAAGCTGGCCTTGAACATGCTACATAGCCAAAGATGACCTTTAAATTCTAATTGTCCTGACCTCACATACTGAGTTCTCAGATTATTGATGTGCATTGCCATGAATTTTTTATTCAGTGGTTCTGGGAATTGAACTCAGGGCTTCTTTCATGCTAGACAAGCAGTCTAGCAACTGCATCAAGTACCTGGCCTGACTTCCAGGGGTTTGTGTTTGTTTGTTTGTTTGTTTGTTTGTTGTTTTTTAAATAACTTCCTTTCTCTTATTTGGAACTTAAAAGTTCTCATGAGCTGACAGCTAAGTGTTAACACAAAGAAGTTACTCTCATGGAATGAGATGTTACAGGTCATCAGATGGAAGCTGAAATGAAATTACCCTTTGGATAAGCTTCTTTGAAAAGTAATAATCTCAAGACCACAAAAGCCTTATATCCCCATAAATGAGAGTGAGAAGTTCTTAGGTCCAATACAAACAAAAAGGAAGCATCTAATTACTACAGATTTCCAAGGAGACAAGGATAAGTCCTACACCAAATGCCCTACTCTACATGCTAGACATCATCAACATCTAGCTTGAATTTAAGTATCTGATGTCTTGGCAATAGTTAAAGGACATCCTTTGTTTGAAGCTACAAAGGAAAGAGGAAGAACTGGGACCACAGAAGCCTTTCTTATCCTGTCTAGGGTGAGGACCAGTAGCAGGATTTAGCCTAATTTCTGGGAGAGGGAGCAACTAGAGTTTCTGTGATCTTTGAGCTACAGCCATGACACCTTTCATGTTTTCCCTCTTATTTTCACCTTTAGGAGGAACATCATCAAGACAGAAAGGCTTTCTTGGATGCATCCGTTCATTACACTTGAATGGTCACAAAGTAGACCTGGAAGAGAGGGCAAAGGTCACCTCTGGAGTCAGACCTGGCTGTCCAGGTCACTGCAGCAGCTATGGAAGCAACTGCCACAATGGGGGCAAGTGTGTGGAAAAACAAAGTGGTTACTCCTGTGACTGCACCAACTCGCCGTATGAAGGACCTTTCTGCCAGAAAGGTATGGTGGGCATACATGCTACTACTGTGTGTGGTCCCATAGCATACAAATATCATGGCCAATGATCCTGTGTCCTTAGGCTGTCCACACCATTCCTATTACAAATAATGCTCTACTACCCATGTGCCATGTTTAAACCAATTTTCCCTATACCTACAGGCATCTACACCATTTCTCCTATTTGTGTCAATGTAGTACTGACATGCATTGTCAAGCTAACCTTTTCCATGCTCTCAAGCAGTGTCCATACTTTGTTCTTTCAGAAAGTTTTCCTGTGTTTAGAATCTACTTAGCTCATCAACATAATCATATCCATGCATTGGTCTTATATGCTCACTGCCTTAGTTGGCTCAGTTGTGCTCAGTAATAACTGAAAATGAGCACATCAACCAGGCTGAAGGATCAGATGAAGACTAACAGTGGATCATCTACTTGTGTTTAATGACATACTAACATTTCCACTTCTAGCACATGAATTAGAAAGTGTATCAAAGGATCAAAAGAATTCAGTGCAAAATAAAGTATAGAAACACTTAAGCCATCTGTGTTTAAATGAATATGTGCCAATGAGAAAAAAATAAAAGATTTGTCTACTATAAACTTCACAGAATTTTTAACATTTCTTTTATTCACAACATGAAGTTTGCTGAGCACCTAATGTGAACAATATTCAACAATAGAATTCAATATTAAAATGAAGTATTTTAACTGCTACAGACTCAGCAATTCCACACAACTCTTACCAATTCATTAAGACACACTCCTTTTTGGTGTGTGTGTATATAGGTGTGTGTGTCCACGCACACATATTCCTATATATGAGAAATAAGCATCTGTGTACAGAATATAAGACAAAATAAGCATACATTCCTCAGGTAGCATCTACTCTGTTTTTTCAGTAAGTGTCTCTCACTTGCCTAGACTCTCAAGTGGACTAATCTGGTTAGTAAGTAAGTGGGAAACTCTGCTTCCCCAGCATAGACATTACAACCAACACTATTCAAATTATTTTTTGATGATCATACTTTAAGCAGTTCAACAACATAGCCTTCTCTTAAGCCTTAAAAGACACTTTTCAAGCCTCTTCACCAAGCAGTAGATTATTTAGTCTAAATTAATCTCAAAGTTAAAGAAAATAAAAATGCCCAGTGTTTTCCTTGAAGGATCCTATAATTTTTTAATTGGATATTTTATTTATTTAAATTTCAAATGTTATCCCCTTTCCCAATATCCCCTCTACAAACCCCCTATCCCACCCCCCTTTACCCTACTTCTGTGAGGGTGTGCCCCCATCTACCTACTCATCCTACCTCACCCTAGCACTCCTCTATACTGGGGACTTCACAGAACAATGGTCCTCTCCTCATATTGATACCAAATAAGGCCCTTTCAGCTCCTTCAGTCCTTCCTCCACCTCCTCCGTTGGGGTCCCAGTGCTCAGTCCGATGGTTGGCTGTGAGTATCAGCATCTGTATTGTTCTGGATCTGGCAAAGCTTCTCAGGAGACAGCTGTATCAGGCTTCTGTCAGCAAGCATTTTTTGCCATCAGCAATAGTGTCTAGGTTTTGTGTATGCATATGGGATGGATCCGCAGGTGGGGCAGTCTCTGGATGGCATTTCCTTCAGTCTCTGCACCATTCTTTGTCCCTGTATTTCCTTTAGACAGAAGCAGTTTTGGGTTAAAATTTTGGAGATGGGTAGGTGTCCCCATTCCTCAACCAGGGGGTTCATGTCTAAACTCTAGATATGGTCTTGACAGGTTCTCCCTCCCTTTTGTGGGGTATTTCAGCTTATGTCTCCCTTGTGGGGTACTGAAAGTCTCTTACTTTCCTGGCATCTTGGACTTTCTGGTTGCTACCCCCAGTTCCTCGCCCCCCCCCATTGCTACACACCTCTGTTTAATTTCCTGATCCTCTGTACGTCTCCTCCATCTCCTCCCATACCTGATTCTTCCCCTCTTTTCCCTTCCCTTCTTTTCTTCCAAGTCCCTCCCATCCTCTACTTCCCTTGATTATTTTGTTCCTCTTTCTACGTAGGACTGAAACATCCACTCTTTGGTCTTCCTTCCTCTTGAGCTTCACGTGGATCCTGTAATTTAACTTCTCCCTTACCTCATGCTGATTTTCTCTTAAATTATTTGGAATTATTTGCTTGTTATTGCCAGGAAATATTTTTTAAGACTCCTTGAGAAAAGAAATTACCCGAACAATCTTTAGGACCAAGAGTGGCAAACAATGCATCAGAACTTGAAATGAATAAAACAGGCCCTATCCCAATAGCTTTCACTGAAGACAAAGCTTTAAAAAAAATCTATTACATGTATTTATATTCTGGGGAGAATATAAAAATTACAGCACACATGTAGAGGTTAGAGGAAAACTTCTGGTAGGTGACTTTCCCATTCTGTTATGTGGGTCCATGGATCAAACTCAGGTCTTTCAGTGTGATGAGAAGAACTTTTACCCATCGAGCTATCTTCCTAGTCATTTTGTAGATAAGGGCTTATAAAGTCATAGCAATTGCAGTTGCTTACACATGACCTGTAAAAGAATAACCTAATCAGTATTCCAACAAGGATTTTGGAGATGCTTGCGAGGCTGCATTCTTAGCAGAGAATCTATTGGCAGTAGATGATTATTAGTTGAGGAAGAGTCAGTTTCTTTAGGGTATGAACACTGATATGGTGCCCATTCTCCCTTGGATGGTCTTTCACACACTGCAATAAAATCAACATTAACTGGACTCAGTGACTGATGAATAAATATGTAAATGAATGAATAAATAAATAAATAAATAAGTAAATAACATGAAGTTAGGAGGGAATACATGTGAAGAGGGGATAAGGAGTTTGAGGGTGTATGATCAAAATGCGTTTTATTTGTATCATAGTTCTTTCTGCTACTGCGAAAAATGCCATGTCCAAAAGTGACTCAGCAAAGAAAGAGTTTATTTGCCTTACAAGTCACAGTATATCATATGAAGAAGTCAATTTAGGAATTCAAAGTCAGAAGATGAAGTCAAGTCTATTCAGGCATGCTGCTTACTGGCTTACCCCTCCTGGCTTGCTCGGCCTGTTTCTTTTTATACCCAGGGTCATTTGCCTAGGGTTGCACTGCCTACAGTGGGATATGCGTTCCTACTCTACATCAACCATCAATCAGGAAAATGTCCATACAAACATGCCTGTAGGCCAGTGTGATGGAGTCATGTTCATAATTGAGGTTCTTTCTTTCCAGATTACCCTGGCCTCTGTCAAGCTGTCAAAAATTAACAAGAACAATTCATTCCTGGTCAATTTGACATACCAATACATTGCTATAAAATCATAATCTTTTCTTTCTCATTTGTCTCTAAGAATTCATATTAGTATCTACTTTTAAAAGTACCATGATTTTTAATAATTCAAACATTTTTAAAAGGTCAGATTTTAAAATATCTGAAGTCTATCTAAAAGTCCAAGGTACCTCTAATATAAGAAATGAGTTACATTCTTCCTTATTTGAAGATGGGGAGGCAGGGTACAGTCACAATCAAAGCAAAGCAAAACTAAAAGGAGATTGGAAAAAGTTCAGTGGTTGCCACCTAGTACCCACTCATGATCTTGGATCCCAAGGACCTAGCTAGCTCCACTTCTCTGGCTCTCCTGTTTGTAATACACATAGCTCCTCTCCTAAACTCAGGTCTACTCCTTCTTGTAGACACTACTAACTTTGGCTGTTGTCCCACAGTCCTGACTTGTCTAAAATTGATGGGGTCTCTACTATCACCAATGGTGTCTTGGCCTCTCTTTTGTGACTTTGATACAACCACATTGTGCCAAACTTCATCTTTTCCCAATACTGGGTTTTTTACTTAATTGAGTTTATACCATTACCAATGGCCTCTCCTGGCCTGTTGCTATACTTCAGCTTTTCTTCATGACTTCTATTGAACTAGTATTGAAGTTTCATACCACTGAAACCAGTATCATCCAGAAGATTCTTATACAATACCATGTTTGGTGACAGCTTGAAATGTAGCTTTGGCACCTCTGGCCTGTAGCTTGGTGTGCTAACCCTGAGTAAATGCTTCACACAAAAAAAATTTCCTGGTCCTTTATTAGTCACAGCTGATCCCAACTGGCCAGCAACTATTATCTCAGTGAACCACATGAAACACTCTCGGAGATGATTACTACAAAAATATCACACAACCAATCCTGATAGAGTCTATCCTTCCCACTGAAATGTAACAAGCCAGACCATCATCATCTTCTTGACTCTCAACATTATGTTTCATATTCATACATATAGCCCAGTAGACTCTGATCCTACAATGGCATTTTCCAGGAAAAAGTGCCTAGTGTATCCCACAATCCTCCTCAAAAGAGCATGTTCAGATCTCTCAGCAATATTCCATAAACCTTCTTCCAATCTCCGTTGCAGTTTATTCTCTTTTGCTATGATAAATTCTTTGACCAAAAGAATTTTGGGAGGAAATATTTTATTTGTCTTACAGGTCAGAGTCCATCATTGGAAGTTAAGGCAGTGAGCTAAGTGAGGTACTAGCTTTGACTGATTTCTTAGATAATCCAGAACCACTTGTTCAGAGATGGCACTGTCCAAAGTAGTCTGGGACCTCCTACATCCATCATTAAGAAAAGTCTTCATAGACTTGCCTACAGGCCAATCTGGTAGAGGGATTTTCTCTGTTGAAGTCTCCTCTTCCTAGTTTAATCTGACCTGTAACGAAAATTTACAAAGATAGCATGTATAACATTCTTAAAGAATAAGCTAATACACTTTAAACTAATTTGAAGATAAAAGTGCTCTGAGTTTTCACTAGTGGAGATCTCTGTTATCAATCACTGAAAAGTTTGAGTGCACCCTTGAGCAATCCCATTGTTATACCAAGGACATGCAGATGCAGAGCAACAGAAATGTCACTAAGATATACAAACAGTGTACTGTAGCATCTATGTCAAAATCTTCTAATGGTGGGAGAACTTGAACAGTGGCCCTACCTGCATTTCTCAAGGTATATTATCCAAATATCCAGTTTAGCTTCATGGTCACAAGTTCACTTTTCGGCAATATTTGTATTAATTATTCTCTGAGAAAAGTGCCCAACTGTTGCCCACATCTGTTAAAATACAGGGTTCCTGATTTTGATACATAAGTTAAATAAACAAATGTTCCCTTCTTAACATTTTAAAGACCCTACCTACTCCACTGTTTCCAATTTCTACCTTAATATTCACATTAAATAATTACCTGCATAATCAATGACAGTAAGATATCCTTTGTGAAAAAACATTTGTCTTGACAATTGGCTCAGGGAAAAGTGATGTGGAACTGAAAAGTAGAACCATGTAGCAAGAGAGATCCGTGAGCAGAGGGCGCTCTCTGCTGGGGTACTCTTCTCTGCTTCTTATTGCAGCATCCTGTATGTCAAGGATGTAGTTTGTAAACATGTGGAACATCAGGAATAAAATTAAGAATATATCCTCCTTAACCAGTACTATTTCTTGTAATGCTATAACAAAGAAAGAAATATTCATCTGGGCTTATAATCTCAGAGATTTCAGCCAACAGTGCCTTGGCTCTGTTGGTTTGGGGTTCATTTTGAGATGAGACATCATTGTGGTGAGTGTGACCATCTATTTCTTACAGCTTTTTGTGTAGTAGAAGTGAGAGAAGGGATGTGGAGTCCCTGGATCCCCTTCAAAGTCATGCTACAAATGGGCCAGAGAATCAGAAATATCCTTCATTCTGATAAAACTTAATTTAACATTTCTTTCTTTTACTGTTTCTACTTTTACTGTCATCCATGAGAAATAATTGGTGGATTTGAGGAAGTGAAAATTTGTACGTATAATTTCTTCTAAATATTTTTTTCTAAGTATCTTCTTTCTATAATTTTATTTTTTCTTTTAAGGACCTTGTTATATTTTGAGGATTTTTTTTAAATTTGTTGTAAAATTGTGCTCTTGCATGATTTCATTATTTAACGCCCCAATTTAAATTTAATTTATTTATTCTCGTGGTGTGTGTGTGTGTGTGTGTGTGTGTGTGTGTGTGTGTGTTTACCAGCATGCCAGGGCACTTTCAGGAGTACCTTTTTTCATTTTACCATGTGGCCCCAAGGATATGGTCTGAGCCACCTTGACATCTTTGCCATGATTATTTTGCCTTGGGGTGCTATTTGTGAATGTGTACTTCTTGGCCTTCAGCACTTTTCTATTGTTGACAAAAAATCTAGTCCAAAGTATTTTTGTCACTAAAAGTGCTAAATAATAAATTTGAAAATTAATTTTCAATCTAGAATCTTAAGCCTAATTTAAACACACATAATCATTTTAAAACTTACTTATATTTAATATAGTAGAGATCATGTTATGAGTTTTATTCATGCCGTGGGCTTGCTTTATTTCGTTACATAAGTGTTTCTATAAATGTCATGTTTGTAAGCAGCAGTTTTAACTATTGCAATATTTCTCCTTGTAAACACTCTCTTCTCTTATTTAATTAATCTATCACTGGATTTCTGTGAAAATAGTCTGGGTTCAGGTTCTTATTAATTTACCATTCTCCCTGTGCAGATAAAAGTTATTCACTTAACCTCAAACTTAATTCCTTGATTTCTACACTGAAAAGGTTTGGGAAATGCAAGAGTTTTATAAAAGGGATCAAGTTTAGTCAGCAATGAACAGTACACATATTATATAAATTCTCCCTAAATGCTAGTACTAAGTTCCTTTTGAAATGCTATATTATCTCAAACTAAAATAACAATAAAATGTAAAATTCACTAGATGTGTGCTTCAGATTATATTTATAATTCATCTATGGGAAAATGAAACCTATTCCAGCACCTTCATCTCTTGTTATAAAACAAAAATTTTGAATGAGTACCAGCATCTATACCTACTGTTGAGTTCAGCTTTACACTGAAACAAATTATACATGAATATTAGAAATAATTAAAGCTAGCTCCAGGAATAGAACCAGAATGCCAATTTTTCACATGTCTAATTATAAAAGGTTTTTTTTTTCATTTTTAATTTATTGTTATAAAAAGAAGGAAAAATCATATTGTACATGCCCATATGTAATATGCTTTTCATTCATTGTAAATAACATATACATTTGGACATACTCAAACATATGACAAAAGCTTTTATTTTGTTGACTTGAAAATAGAAGCTGGAACTGCAAGTTATATGTTCATAAGGAAAACACTGGTATCAAGCAGATAATAAGCCAACATCTACATGGCTGTATGCATCTGCTTCATAGTTTTAACAAAAGGCACACTGATATAACTTGTACGATAAAGGCAAAACATTGCTTCTTAACATTTCCCAAAATTGCATTAGTAGTCGGTGTCCACTAGTCATTATAAATAAACACAAAGTGTGAATTAGGTGGTGCTACTACAAACTGTTAAGAGAATTTCACCTCACAAAATGGGAAGAGCTTTAGGAAGGAAAGCTAAGGTTCTTTTTAATGTTCCACACTTAGCCAGACAATGTTGAGAGAGGATTAGGAACACTGCCTCTTTCTTTGGAAAGAAGAGAAACCTATCATATCCATATAAACATGAGTTTACCATACAATATTTCATGCAGATGGGTGTTTACAGATCTAAGAAGCCTTCTATTAAAAGCAATGTTTTCTTTACACCTGTCCATACAAAAATAAACTTACTGTTAGTTCAAAAGCAACCTAAAGTGTGGCAGAATAAGTATTTTAACACATTGACAGACATACCATCAATCACAAGACATAATTCATGGATGTTGCTGAGATGGATTTAGCTTAAATTACATTTTTTCTTTATTTTTGTGTATTTGAAATATGTTTATATATGTATGGGATTGTGTATGTATGTGTGTGTGTATGTGTATGTATGTATATGTATTCATGTGTTCATGTACATGTATGTGAAGGCTAGGAGCCAGGAACAGATATCTTGCTCAGTTGTTCTTCAAAGTTTGGCACTCATTAGTTGCTAGACTAGCCAGTGAACACCAGGGTTCCTTCTGTCTCTGCTTTCCTAGATCTGGGATGAAATATGCACACAATCATGCCTGTCCTTTAATGTAGATGTTGAAGATCCAAACTCACTTCCTCGCACTTGTGCAGCAGACATTTAACCAACTGAGCCATGTCCCAGTCCCTAAGACATACATTCTTCCAGAGATTCCACAGTTTCAAACCCTGGAGGACATTGTTCTTCAGTGCTTTACAAAAACAATCTCACTAAATAACATGGTGATACAGAGATAGGGTTGAGTGTTCTGATTAGCCTCTTTAGTCTTATAATTTATAATTACAAGCAATGGCTACAAATGGCTTGGGAATAGGTTTTGTCAGCAAACTGCTTGCGAAACTAACTTGAGAGTCTCAGTGAAGATCCTCAACTCCCACTTAGAAAACTAGAGGAGGCAAAATCTTAATAATTCTGAGCCCAATGATCATCCAATCTAACCAGACCATGTGCTCCAGGTTCAGTGTCTCAAAAAAAAAATGGAGAATGATAAGAAAAGACATACAACCCTTAGTCTCCAATATCAGCATGAATCCACATCCACACATATGCACATTTACATAAAAATGGGTTTGAGCCTTTCTAAAAACATGAAGAAGCAGATTGTTTAGTTTCCTAACACCCTTCATCCAGTGCTGGATGCAGAGCAATCAGTGAGCAGCTATTACGCAGTAATTGACTAAATGTTGGAAAGTTTAAGATATGCTCTCTTGTTTTCTTGTTTTCTGCAGAAATTTCAGCTCTTTTTGATTCTGGCACCTCTGTAACGTACACGTTTCAAGAACCATATCCAGTGACCAAGAACACAACAAGCCTTTCCTCTTCAGCTATCTATACAGACACAGCAACACCCAAGGAAACCATCATGCTGAGTTTCATGACAGCACAAGCCCCCACCCTCTTGCTCTACCTCAATTTCTCTTCTCAGAATTTTCTAGCTATCCTGCTCTCCAGGAATGGTAAGTGGTGGTGGCATGAAGCCATAGGGCTAGACACGCCTGGAAGGACACTTCATATTCTGCAGTACCCTGCAGAGCCTCACAGCTGGGTAACCTCAGCCTAAGCTTTAATCAGTCAAAGAATACTATTGTTTCTCAAATGAAATTCTGTTATTTCTTTTCTTTCTTGAAATTATTACAATTAGTTATAAAAGTCATGCATTCTTACAGGGCATTGAACATGCAATAGAAGACTTCACATACATAGAAGAACTTAAGTGCCTTTTAAAGGCTGAAGTTCACTGTTATCTGTGCATCTTTGGTGATGACATCCTCAATAAAATAGAATTTTCAAAGATTTTGCTTCTAGGTTTTCAAGGTATCTATAGCACCTAGGCTCTCAGGATGACAATAATGATTATTAGCATTCACTAAAGATGTGAATCAAACTTTGGGATAAAAGGTAGATCTAGTAGATATATGACAATTAGAGAAAGGACAGAAATAATATATAAAATGATAACCATATATGATGATCTCATTACCTTTTTTTTTTAAATCAGACTATGACAGGACACAATCTTCCAATTGAACCATAGCCAAGTACACTATGAAATCAGATTCACATCACATGTAATAATTTTTTAAACAAATGAATGGAGAAAACACACATACATCCCTATCACATGATCTCACACAGCACTCTCCTGTGATCAAGAATATGGTTCTATTTCTCTTGCAATCTTTGAGTATCATGATAGGATGCTAGACTTTTGGTGAGCTCATCGCAACCACAGAGTTATACTTCAGAGTAGACTGTGGTGTCTCATGGAAGAAGTCAGGCCTATGGAATGTGACATGTATGCAACCCTGTCTAAACCTTAGGTACAAATCACATATTTTCTTTGTATGCTTTTTCTGGTGTGTGTGTGTGTGTGTGTGTGTGTGTGTGTGTGTGTGTATGTATGTATATGTGTGCACGTACATGTGCTATTTTTTCATGGTATACTACATATGACTTGAATATAAAGAACTATCTTTACATATCTAAATCTGATCTAAATCTGAAAGGAATTATGAAAACTGGACAGTGTGTGGGATGAACCAACCTAAAGCTCAAGAATAACAATAGATGATTCATAGTATATTACATGTGTTGTTTATTCTGAGGCCAAGATAGAGGGAAGAAACAAACAGTATGGATAGGCAGGAAAGGAGGGAAAGAAAAGACTCAAGAGGAGAAAGAAAAGGAAAAGGAAGAGGAAGCAGAGGAGAAAGATAAAGGACAAGAGGAAGACAAAGAGAATGAAGAAGAAGAGGAAGAAGAGGAAGGCTAGTTATTTTTCAAGCCCTTGGGCCATTTCATCACCTACTTATTAATAGTTTAAAAGATGTTGACTAAAATCTTGCCAACAGATCAGACCTTCAGGTTTGCCATGTAAAGACTTTTGAGTATATGAGGCTGTGTTTGTGTCCTTGGGCATAGGTAGATTGAGAGGGTACATATAGAGCAGATAGCAAGTCCATGGAACAACCAGGACTGTTTCCCAATATTGAGCTCAGTAATCTTCCTTCTAACCTGCATCACTGTCTTCTGATATGTTTGAACCATATAAAGATGGTTATTGAGAGAGAGGATTGTCCTAGAAATGTCTTTAGGGTAGGCTTTCACATACTTATACCACAGAGATACCATAGTGTATCTCTAAAAATATGACTGCCAAGAATACATGAAATACAGAATAGGATAATCACTGCATCTAATTATTCTACTAAGCCCATACTGTGCTTAACTCTCCTAGTAATTGTGGTTACTCATTGCTTTTAATACACCTACTTTGACAGGTTTCTACAATTGTAGAAACTGAGGCATGAGGATATCATAGTTCATAATATCAGAGTAAGTTAGCATTTTGCTTGGTTTTGTTTTTCCTTGTGTGAGAATCTCACTGGAACTTTCAGATCTACTGCCACATCCTATGAGTGCTGGTACTATGGATGTGTACAACCACAATAGGATGTTTTCTTAATCATAGGAGCTAAATAAAAGTGTTAATCTTTTAACCTTTAAAACACATAATTCTTTTATATAATTGGCAATTCTTTAGTAGGAATCATTCTTGAATTTCTCCCGGCATATTTTTTTTGTGTTTTCCTTTCAAGACATTAGAAGTTCCACCTGACTCTATACTTACATTTTAGAAACTCTGACTGAATTCAGGAAACAAGCAGATTCAAAGGCCCTACCTCCTGGTTGTGTACACCTCAGGTTCTTATGAAATCTCAGGTGCACAGCATGTTTTTTCAGGCTGACTCACAGGGGAACCTCCTGATACAGAAAGCTTTTTTGTTAAAGATTTTCCTCCAATCCTAGAAGACACTGAGATGTCCTGGCTTTTGTGTCCTACTCAAACGGATAATCCTGGAAACAGCTTATTAAAAGCGAGAAAGACAGTAAGCTGGTAGGCCAGGATGGCTCAAATCTTTGGACCCACAGGGTCATGGCCCTTTATAGATCATTTGCATAATTACCTTCCTTTTCCTTGGGACTTATTTTGCACATGCTGTGTTTGATTAAAGAGTAGCCAGCAGGGAAGGAATTTCCATGCTAACTGGTTCTTTTCATATGCTAATCTTGATCCCTTCCCTTTTTTCCTGCCCTCTCACTGCACTTCCTCTCTAAGTTCCCTCAGGTAGTATATGGTCTGGCAGTATGGAAGATGCTTTACTTAAAATCTATGGTACTTCCTGATATCTCTTTATCCCTCAAAGACACAACTGAGGGACTGTTTATATTGTTTTGTTAAAACCCATAGTGGTATAATAAATACAAGAGGCAGCAAGCAAGACTTGCTTCAGAGTCCCTACTACATGAAAAGAGACAGATTTAAAACTACTTAAAATATGTAAAAAAAACAACAACAAGATAGAGTGATTGGATTTCTAAAGCAATCTAGCTAGAAAAAATACTTTATGACAGAAAACCCAAAGAATCAACTAACTTGAGTCTATAGGACCTCAAAGAGACTGAACCACTTACCAGGGAAACTGCATGGGGCTATAGTACTAGGTCCTCCACACATGGTACCTTTGTGTAAATTGATCATAAAAGTGGGAGCAAGAGCTGTCTCGGACTTGTTTGCCAGCCTTTTGGACCCTTTCCCACTATTGGGTTTCCTTGTCTAGTCTCTATAGGTAAGTAGGTACCTAGTCAGACTGGAACTGAATATGTATACAAGCTATTTGACATCCATCAATGCCTCTGTTTTTATGAAGACAAATGATAGAATGGATAGAGAGGAGAGGAGGGAAGAAGAAAGTACTGGGAGGGAAGGAGGGAGGTGAAACTGTCATCAGAATGTAAAATAAATAAAATTAAAATTAAGAAAAGAAGAAACGTAAGTGTTTAGTAATTACACCTGTGGAACAAATGTCTTCAGTAGCATTAAGTTACTTGTCATTAGTGGTCTTCAGATTACAATTAAGTGAGCATTTGCTGAGAAAATGATAATAGTCCTAAAAGTAGGTGAGAGACAAATTAACACCTGGGAAAAGCTGAGCGTCTTCCTCTGTCTTTTTGTGTGATTTAACCTTTCCTTGTATTGTCTTCTATGTATGCCTATAAAAACCTTCTTTACAGAACTTGAAGCATTCCTGGAGGAATTAAGAATTCGTATCTTCAGTGTGATATTGTTATATTCTATAGCATTAAGCCATAGACCTGATTAACAGTGATCAGGAACTAGAAACATTTTAATGGATTCTGTGTACTCTACAATGTAAGTGTGCTTTTAAGCCCAGAACAGTGGGCTAAACAAGAACCTACCTAGCAGTTGCAGCAAGAGGCCAACATTCAGTCCCATGTCAGCTTTGTAGCATGTTGAAGACCAGACTGGGTTACAAGAGACCCTGTCTCAAAAAAGAAAATAATCAGTTCCCCTTTTGGAAGTTAGGGATCCTCACAAGTTGAAGTAATGATAAGCAGAGTGAAAGTTTAATTAGTGAAGATGTTTACCTGGAAAGCTTTAGTAATCAAGAACCACTCTCTAACACCTCCTGTAGAATCAACAGTTTGTGTTAGAAAGCTTCTAACCTTGTTCTGATTTTAAGATAACTTCAGGAATTTGGTAGTGATGAAGAAATGGTGAGCTTAAAGGGAGTCCTATTTGGTTTCTTGGGAGGATACAAACTCCACTTACAATATTTTAGGGTAAGAAGACAGGGTGCAGGATTAGAAGGATAAAAATTATAATCACTCAGCCAAGTTCTCATCTTGTAAATTTATTTTAGATAGTTAATTAGGCCAGAGGTGAGAAGATGCCTGTGAGTCAAAGGCATCTTTCTGAGCATTGGCCTGTGAGTAGTTCAGTTTGGCAGAACTAAGGTTCATCACTTACTGCCCTTCTTCTTGGTATTGACATCTCCACTTCTAGATTTGGATTTGCTCAGTCTATGCTGTTGCTGTCACTTCAAGTCAGAATAGGGCTTTGTACTAAATAGAGGAAACTGTTTTCATTTCTGAAATATAAGCTCTCTCTCTCTCTCTCTCTCTCTCTCTCTCTCTCTCTCACACACACACACACACACACACACACACACACACACACGGACATACAAAAGAATGGAGGATGATTATGCAATGGAGAAGTCCTTAGGAAATGCAGGCCTAGAATTCTGAGTCACAGACAACTATCAAGTAACTTAGCAATGAGAAGAAGGAGGCATTAAATGAAAACAGCAGGCCCCAAAGGGGGAGTTGCCCTAAGGATACCCTTTGTCTCTACATCTCAGTTTACTTCAGTACTCTTGTAAGAAAGCACAGCACAGGAGAAGGACATGCATGCATGTGTGTGCTCATGCACTTGGAGACTGGAAGATAACCAGTGGTGTCATCCTCAGGAATGCCATTCAATTTTTTGAGAGAGTCTCTCTCATTGTCTAGGAGTTCACCAATTAGGATTGTTTAGCTGGTAAGCTCCAAGATTCTGCCTATCTTTACCTCCTAGATGCTGAGGTTATAG